ATGAGCAGATGTGAGAGAAGATGTGAAGATGAGAAGATGTTTTACAGACCCCCACTATTGGAAGAACCCTGCGCTCAGACGCTCTCGGGAAAAACAATGTTTGGTTAGTTCAGTATACTTCCATTGTTTATATGCATATATCCACTCAACATGTTCCGCTTTGCAAATGTATGCATATATGCGTAGATACAGGATACATGTGGGTGTATGCATGCATGTATGCATGTATGCATGTATGCATGTATGTATGTATGTATGTATGTATGTATGTATGTATGTATGTATGTATGTATGTATGTATGTGTGCGTATATGTGTATATTTGTATATATATATATATGTGTATATATATATGTGTGTGTGTACGTTTATGTTTCCAGACCCAAAACTGGGGCACAGTTAATGCACCATCATCAATTGTTATCACCCCCATGATTCTTAGTTGTTCACCTTTCGGTATACGCAAAATATCAGATTCATAATGATTCATACCTGTAACCCAAACAAAACTAAAACCATATTGCAAAGGACTTTAGCTATGTTTTTTCAATTCCTGCCTGGTTTTCTGTCCATCTTAGGTCAATCCCCCCGGAAAAAAAAAAAACAATAATCGCTTCCCCTGGTAAATTCCCATGTGTTGGCATTTTCTCTAGGTCTTTCCCACTTTTTCAGCATTTTCAGCGTGTGCTTCCAACTTTTTCAGCATTTTCCCCACATGTTTCCAACTTTTTCGACATTTTCCCACCACATTTTTCCCACGTTTTCCTCATTTTTCCTAGACATTTCCTGGTCCTCCACGGTGACCTCCCGCCATTTCGCTTCGACCCGCGCGCCTCGACGTCCAGCTGTTCCAACGTCCGGCCCACGATGCGCCAGGAGGCGGCGTCGCCGTCGTCGGGGAGGCAGATGTTGTAATCCTACGTGAAGGGAAGAATTTTGCAACCAAAAATGGTGATTGCTCATGGAATTTCACCACTTTTTGAATGGTGATTTAGTGGAGATTTACCCTCTGGTAAACGTTTTCATAACTATAGAAAATCACCATTTTTAATGGGTAAATCCACAACAAATGGCCATTTTCAATAGCGAACTGTTAGTTTACCAGAGGGTAATAACTGTAGGGATATAGTAATATACAGTAACTGATAGATATATACAATTTTAATAGTAGGATATTTACAATTTACAATGTTCATTTATAGTTAATGTAATACTAGTTAATCATATAAGATGAATTAGTAATGAATATTAATGGACACACACATATATATATATAAATATAATCTTAATGAATGGATATTAAGCGGAATTATTGATAATGTTAATGGTTTCTAATATGGAATTACCAAATGGTATCTAAAATGGTATTAATCATGGTATCTAATGGTGTCTGAAAATGGTATTGATATAATCATGGTATTAATAATGCTATAGTTTGCAATAATGGAATAATCGTTTGGAACAGTGGGAAACCATATTGTTAATAACATTATACCTATGATGGATTGATATTAATCATGAAATAATATTTGGGACAGAATATTTATGTCCATTATGCCAATGAATGTGTTCCATAATGTTTGGATATATCATGGAATCATGGAAAATATTGACTTGTTTTACTAAATATAAACACTGTAGTGATTTTACCATCCAATAGAATCAGGATAGATACTGTAATGAAAATAATGGGAATATATAATATGGAACATAAAATGGAATTGCATGATTGTAACCACATGGCGTGCACTCGATATTTTGGTGACATTCTGTCAATTTACGAGGAAACTCCAATATTTGGTTTCTGGCTCCAACCCCCGACAACTCCGCGTGCCCCCATGGTCAATCTTTGATAGTCCACAACCAATGGACATCTTTTGCTTATGGCGATTTTTCATGTTTTTGTTTAATGATTTTTCCTTAGCCAAAGAACTAAAGGATTAAACTGCCAACAGGATTTTTTTAAAATCGTTTTACTGGTCATGGTGATGTATGGTGATTTATACCCATCCAGTTGGGGATGTCAGGCCGCATGGCCGCCTTTCCCAGCTCATGCGCCAGGGCGGCTTCGAAGACCACCCAGCAGCGCTCCAGGGTATCTGCACTGTGATCCTGGAATGTGGAAATGGCTTGGGAACCCACCATTTTATCGACCACTTAGATAGATGAGATAGATTAGATAGATTAGATAGGTTAGATAGATGAGATCGGTGAGATAGATTAGACTAGATAGATGAGATAGATGAGAAAAATTACAGAAGATAGATTAGAAAGATAAGACAAAGAAAATTGATAAGATAGATATGGTATATATGATATATTGGATGATAGGTAAGATAGGTTTAATAAAGAATGTAGACGAGATAGATAAGATAGATAGGACAGGTAGGGTAGATAGGCTAGATATGACGAATAGGATAGATAGGATAGATACGAAGGATAGGAAAGATAGGATAGGTAGTATAGATAGGATAGATATGATTGGTAGGATAGATAGGATAGAATGGATAGAACGGATAGATAGATAGGATTGAATGGATAGATAAGATAGATAGGATAGATAGGATAGATAGGAAAGATAGGATAAATAAATCTATCGATAAGTACGCAATTATGGCAACATATTGGATATGTGGGAATTCAGATATGGGAAACATACAAATGGATATACATAAGTTACATGGGCAGATCTTTTTCCGGATTACCCTCATTTTAAGGGATATAATAGGGTATGATGAGATTTAATGGCATTTAGATCCAGCATTGGGACAAACGTTTAATTTCTTTTCGTTCAGGGGAAGTTTTACGGGCAACCACTGTTTGCACCCCAAAACATATGGAGTGTTTCTCTTTTTTTCCCAATTTTGGAAAGACATCCACATCGAAAATGAATGGCATTGCATGGGTATGCTAGCTAGCTTAAGATGTCAATGAAGTTGCTGAACATTCGAACATAAATTTCAAAATCACCAATGACATAAGGCGGAAATTCCCGGTGCCAGGCAGGTTGCTCTACCTGGGGGGGATCTTAGCCAGTGCGGTGCCTAGCTGTTCAGTTGCCAAATCTCAAGTTTTGTGATGGTAACAAAAACAACATGTTTTTAACAGTGCAATAGAGTACAATACTAAAATTTAGCCAACGATTCGGTTCAGTCTATACACGTTTATCCACCTTCTATCAAGTTTCCTTGCTGAATTACGAAGCTTCACCTCCTACGTACATCCCAGCAAATATCCCAGTCTTGGCTATAGTGTCGACAATATACTCACTATATTTGGTTACTTACTTTTGATGGCCGGAGGGTATTCCCATCAACATCGCCATTTTTTGGGGGTTAAGTCCATATTTCTCACCATAAAATCCTATGGCCGCATGGGTTTCATAAAACCAACAAACATCAAATGCGCCCGCCGGCAACCGGTTGCACGGAGTACCCCCTGGAAATTTAACAGTTCGCTATTGAAAATTGCCATAGATTTATGTGGATTTTCCCATGAAAAATGGTGGTTTTCCATAGCTTTTTGTATGTTTACCAGAGGCTATGCGCATCCAAAGGACAGTGAGCACCAACACCCGCCGGGCATGGCGCATGCTGATGGCGAAGGGACAGGTCTCCAGCGACGCCAGGCTGGCCGAGACGTCGCCGTGCTGCCACCTCAAGGTGGAAAAAACAGCGGATCATAACATCTTATAAGCTTTTCAATAGTTGGATAACTTGGATATATGGTATATCATGGTATATCATGGTATATCATGTATATCTATCCTTTATTGAATATCCCTTTATCTATCGGTTAAAAAGAGTTATCATCAGGAAACCTTGGAAGCTGACTGGTGAATGGCATGGTGAAGCCACCCCGGGGCCAAAACAAGTGAGGCGAAAATCAGTGGATTGGAGGGGTGTCCCCTTAACCAGAAAAACAATGGTTTTCCCAGTCCAATATAGGGATTATAGGGGTGTCCTATATTTTGTTTCCTTGAACCAATGTTTCCTGATATTCAGGGTGAATTCACCACCAACAACCACGATATTCATCACGTAGGTTCTAAACACCACCTATTCTTCGGAAGTCGCATGTAGCTTTGGACAATTATCCATGATCAATATATAATATATATATATATATCAATATCCTATTACTAGTGGTGGAAATGTATAAGAAGAGTGAACCCTATTTTGTCATGCTGCCATGTAAGGGGGTGAATACAGCCAAAATTGGAGGAGATCTGAGTGTCGAAGATTCACGGAAAAAAAATCATTTTGAGGCCGAAAAAAGAAAAGCAGCGGTTGGACCCCCATGCCCAGTTAGTGTAATATATATATGTATGCGTATATTTATTTTAATAATTATATATATATATAGCAGAAGAATAAGAACTTAAATAAGGTTAGTCAAGCAATAGGATCCACCAATTGTACCATGTTTATGAATGGTTTATAACATCAACTCAGCCTAACTCTGATGGAACTTTTAGTGCCTTGGGTAATCAAACGCGCTAGAAAAACAAACATTGTAGTTCCATGATTGTCCCAGCAAAATCTCCATTTGTAGCGGAATTCCAAGCCAGCCATATTTGATTTCAGGAAGCTCATCCTTCCTTTAGGAACCTAAGAGAAGCCAAACTTTCAGCCACGGCTACAGCGCAAAGCTGCAAATCCACACCACTGCCTGCAGTGCAAGGAGAGTTGACGTTGAAAAAATACTGTTGGGGTGCAAGTTGCCTGTACAAATTTGATATATTATGACGTATATATGTAAACCTCTATTTAAACAATAAATCATCAGGGTGACATGGACAATAACCACCTCGCACATTATATCCAAATATGGTTTCTTATTATTTCATATTATTTCATATTAATATATATATATACATATGTGTGTGTGTCATATTTTATATGTCATATTCTAGTGTTGGGAAATATTAGAACAAACTCGATCGAGTGCTTTCAAGGTCTTCAATTTTGGCTCGTGGGATCATCCGACGTGGAACATCCTGGTCATTTTCCAGTCTTCCCTCTAGAAGACATAGCTATAAACAAAAAAACATTATTAACTAAAAACATGATATTAACATAGCTATGTTAAAACAAATGAAATATAATGAAATCATATTAGCTGTAATATTATACGGCATATCATTACATTAACTATGGTTTTAACATCATAAAATCAATGAACTACATCGGCCCCTTCCAAAGCGTAGCCAACAAATTACCAAAGGGCACAAAGCCCCAGAGAGCAACTATGTTCAACGAGTTTAAAGTCCACTTTTATAATCTTCTATATGGCAATTTAAAAAAACACCACCCTAAATATAACATATCATAAACATATCATAAAACCACAATCGAGTGAAACTCTCCGGTCATCCTCAAGTCCAAAGAAAAAGCCGGGTTCAAACCTCTTCATCCAACAGGCGATGTAATGTCAGCGCGAAATCTTCAAAGGCTTCCCCCCAGCTGTGAGACACAAAGGTCCTGCAAAGCGGAGGAAAAAAACCCGGGGATCCAACCAGTGCTTGGCTGCAGCCAAGCACTGGTTGGATGGGAAACAAATGGAAGATCTGGAAGATCGACATTTGATGATGATGTAATAGGAAATGCTGGGGCTATAATGGGCTATACATCAATGGCCATTTCAGGAACCGATTGATTGGAGGTACCGATTCCATATATAAGGCCTACTTTTCAGGCCTAAATTTCAGGGAATATCACCACAATTCATATGGCTTAAAGAATGGTACTAACGTACCTCCATTTTAGGATCCTGGAATTCCCATTGAATACTGCGGCTGCAGCTCTCCCATCATCCAATACAACGGGAGACCTGCCTGCCATCAACGGGGATTGCCATGATTTCTCGAGCATGTTTTTGCAAAATGGAGGTTCAATCGAATTCACCGCATTATCATCTTTTGGTGGTGATGAACGTCCCTGAAAACTTGGGATTTGAGTGTCACCAGGGTGCCAAGATTGTGACCCATAGGAAACTATGCTCATTGCCCCTCTATTCTCCCACAAAAATGTGTAAAGATTTCATGCAACTGCAGGGGAAAAAATCATGAGTACCTAGAATGCCTAGGAATGGCTCCAACGTCACCAGCCACTTAGGTCGCAGATCCGGGAACACCACTCAATTTGTTTCCAATCACTGATGGTTTATCCATGTTTATCCTTTCTATCAAAAGTTAAATTGGCAGATTTTGTTCCCGGATCACTGTCATTTTAAGGGATATCATACGGTATGATGGGATTTAATGAGATTTATATCGAGCATTGGGACAAACGCAGGATTTCTTCGCTCCCACGGTTGCCACCGCAGCAAACAAAAAACTGCAGACGAAGGGGCGTGGCCATGCAGAATAAATCTGCCGACTTTCCTTGGCATTGCACATACATCCTCTCCTTGATGTCTGCCCCTAGGATCCGGTTAGGTTATTAATAGACAGGATATAGTCTAGGTTATCATCATTTTATGATAGTCTTTACGGGGGTTATCACAGATTTGGTGATAGTCTATTATCAGGGAATGAAGAAGATATATGTTGATAATTTTGGAAGTATTTTCAATATATATCGTATAATTGAACGTTACATTGGATGATTATTTTTTATTTTTCCCATGTGGTTCTCATGTTTTTTTTTCGTGTTTTTTCTTGTCATTTTTATAATTGCGATGTCCTTGTTTCCAGTTTCCGTTTCATAAAACTGGGTTTTCTTGTTGCGTGTCCGCGGCTCGGTGCAAATTATTTTGCAAATTTTCGATTATCGATCCAAAAAGATCGGTGCATCAAGTTTCTGTTCACGTCATGGCTGCCCAAAGTTCGAACCAGCTGTTCTACGGAGTTTCAGCATCTGTGGCACCTGACGGGAGTCTGGTGATAGATGAATCAGCTGCTGACCGCGTCCAGACTCAACCGGTTCCGATGTTGTTGGAAGATTTCTTGAGTGATGAGTCGTCAAGCGAAGAAGGTCAAGCGAAGTCTCCTACCAAAATCGAAAAATGGAAAAACAAGATGATCAGTGCTCTCACGGACGCTTTGCAGAAGTTAGAGGTAGATGAGAAAAAGAACCAAATTCCAAGAGAGCTTAACCCCGTGGTGGACATGGTGAAGGATTTGCTGGCCAAGATGACTGATGGCAAGGCGGTGGACCGCATAGAAGCGTATCGCATGTTGGAAGGCGCACGAATGTCGTTGGAATTCGACAATTTAGACTTGGACTAAGCAGCGTGACATGAGGTGGCAGAAAAAGTGCTGAACATTCAGTTTCCGTTTCAATTTTCGTTTCCGTCTCCAGTGTCCGTTTCCATTTCGTGTCCATTTCCTCTTTCTGTTGTTTTATGTTTAAAATGTGTTAACTGTTAATTGTTTCCATGTCTTTCTCAAGCCGGGTCATGGTTTACAATGTTTCTTGAGATCTTTTTCAATAGACATGTGCGGGCATATGGCTATTGTAAATAGAATATCTACCAAATGTCTTTTGGGATAGTATGTTATATTAGGGTTTTTGGTTCAAGGATCAGAAAAAAGGATATAAATCTGATCATGGCGGCCGAGACACCGTCCAAAGTTTCAGAGAAGCAGGCTTTAGCTGACGCTGAAAGACTTGCGGGGGCGCCAAAGGCCAGCCCAAAGTGCAGTTCCAAAACCAGGACACCTGAGAAGACTCCACTCAAGCGCCCAGCAGCTCGCAGGGATGAGAACCAACGTAAGACGGTCAAGCAAGCCAAGGCTCTGAAGCGTCCAGCTTCAAACAATGACTCGACAGAGGTTGCAGGCCCTTCTGTGGAACCAAGCAAGGGTGACGAGGAAACGAATAAAAGCACAAACAAGGCTAAGAAGAAGGAGCAGGAGAAGGCACAGAAGCTTAAAATCGAAGAGCCGCAGGAAGAGACACCTGACCCTGGTGTGGAAGCCAGCACCGAGACTGCGGACAAAGCCAAAGAAACTCGAGACTACGCTAAAGCCGGCTACTTTCACAGAAACTTTTCCAAGTTGCCGGAGGAGGCCCAAACATTTGTGTCCGTGTCTTGTTTCCTCCAAGTTTTTTCCAATAATTTCCCCGTTTTTTTTTTCATTTTGTGTGTGGCAGGTGCAGAAAGCTTTCCAAGGGAAAGATTTGAACCGAGAGAAGAAGACTCAGTTGGTAAACCAAGCCGTACAGAAAGATTCCAAAGGCTCCTACACCTTCAACTTGGAATGTCAGGCTGTGAAAATGCTGTCTACTTACACGGAGAAAACCAAAGGTTCCCAGAGGGCAGTCGGTATGCCCAAGTCTTTGATGATTTCGAAGCTTGGTTCCGAACAAGCTTTGCAGAAGGCTATGGCGGATGGTGAAGTGTCTCAAACCACGCAAGCTGGCCGTGTCTTCTACGTCTTCAACACCATCGAGTTGACAAGAAGCACAGAGGCTGCAAGCACCACTCAGGCTGAGAAAGGAACGGAAGTTTCTGACGATGCTTTCAAGTCTATGAATGCGTTCGTGAGCAATTTCCTTCCGAGTCTCAGCCCCACGGTTGCAAGCCATATTGTTTGGTTTTCAGGTGGTTATGTTTTTGTTTCTGCTATTAAAATTTCTGGCGCTAGGTGACAACAACTTGTCCAACCAGCAGACCAGCCCTACCCTGACGCTTTTTGGCGCCGAGACAAAGGCTCCGACCACTTTGGCCTTGACGAATGAATCGTTGGGCCGCGGTATGGGTGCCTTACATATCGCCGATCAGCAAGTCTTGACTACTGCGGTGTTGACGAAGATCGATGAAGCTTTGACTTGGTGGGCCAAAGCACGTGAGCAAGCTCGAAAGCAATTCAGCCAAGGTCCCCAGGGGGACGCGCAGCGACAATTGCGTCAACACTTGGTGCAGCTGACCGATCGCTTGTTCAGCTTGCAGACCAAGTTGGAACACGTCAAGATGGTTGGAACTGCGGACTTCAACGACGTCAAAGACATGTTGACCAAGATGGGGTCCGGTCTAGTCGAGGTTCAAGAAACCTTGCGGGCGCTTAGCGCTATGGGGTAAAACTATACTTGCATCCACTTAAGCGTATTACGGTATTACAAAAAAAATTGGGGCTTTGGAGATATTTTCTCGTTTTGGTTTTTCATAATTAAGTTATTTTCAGAACTCGTCGCTTTGTACTTTCAGACTTTGTTACAAAAACCTTCATGACTTTTAAAACCATGCCACATGCGTTCTACTAGAATTCTCAACTCAATTTTCCTTAGTTGTGGTATATGACACATTTTTCTTCTGACACACTTATTGTGGGACAGCTTTTCTGTTCTCTGCCTGGCGACGTCCACAGAAGGAAATTTCTCGTATAGACGCCCTGCTAGATATTTTAACAAGTGTCATGGTTATTTTCTTTTCTCGTTTTCTTTTGGCTCAATGGTTAAGATGCGCCGCTCCATTGTGGCTGTTTCGGCCGCGGTGCTGGCTGGCTCGGCCATTTTAGTGGCTGCTTCGGCCACGGTAGCAATGTCAAGCTTGGAAACCGGGGCCAAATTCAGATGGCGTAGTTCGGGCAAAAAATGGTGTAACATGTTCCTCGTCTCAGATGGCCAGCCAGAGCTAGGGTCATGGTTGGATGTGAAGCAGCAACCTTGGGGTGTTGATTGTAAAGTGTGCAAGGAAACTGGGGTTTCCAATCCTTTCGCTTCTTATTCAATGACCAAGAAGGGCCAACTGCAGAACTGCAATTTGATGAAGCACCATAAAAGCAAGGCGCACAAGGCAGCGGTGAAGGAATGGTTGAAGGAAGGGGGCTGTGTTGGTCCTAGTCCCGATGCAGCCCTGTCATTGAGTCAGTTTCAAGAGCTGATGGAGTGCTTTGGCGAGAAAAGATCATTGACGCAAAAAGAGCTGCAAATGGCATGGTGTTTGGCAGAGGGGTTAAAAGCTTTGGACCAAACGTTCATTGCGAAATCTTCTCACATTTCTTTGATGCGGGATGAGCGGCATGGGCGGTTGGCCATACGATTCATGGCTGTGGCCCCAGACTTGACAACTCGAAGTGGCTTTTTAGGCCAAGCAAGGCAAGCTGGAACAGGAGCTGCCAATGTCTCCTTAGCCACATGGGCAGTCATGAAGCGTGCTTGCTCTAGATTTTATATGGCTCCTCTTAGTCAGAATCCTGGGCGTTTGAAGAAAAATCTTTGTAAACACCTGCGGTCAAGAGTTGTGGCACTCGCTGCTGATGCAGCAGCAGATGAAATGGCAAGCTGTGAAATATTAAGGTCAGCACACTTGAGTTTGAATACAGAAGACAACCAGCCAATGCTGCCAAACTTGAGGTCAGAAGTGGACAATCGATTGAGGGTTGGACACTTCTCAGGAGCCACCTGGGTATTTCAACTCACCCAAGCTGCTGCGGCCGAGGCTTGAGATTACGGGCGTAGTCAGGCTGCTTCGGCCTGCTCGTTGCCAGGCTGCTTCGGCCTGCCCGAAACTTTTTTTTGAAAAAAGTGGTTGCTTCAGGCTTCAGCCACAGAAGCTTGGCTGCTTCGGCCAAATCGCCTGGCTGTTTCGGCCAGCAAGGGTTTCGAGAAGACAGACTGTCTCTTAGAAAATAGTGGCTGCTGTGGCCTTCTTGGGACCAGGTTGTGGAAGAGACTTTGAAACCACCAAAGAGTATTTGAATCCAAAAAGGGGAAAATATGTAACATGTTTACTGTTTACTATTCAAATGTCCTTTAACCTGGTAAGGGGGATATTTTCTTTTTTATGTCATAAGGGATTTTGACATATGTTTAAAAATCATCTTAAGAATTACAGGGATGTAACCTCTTAAGACTATAAGACCCTAATTCGGGGACATCCCCTAACCTCCTAAGACTCTAATTCGGGGACGTCCCCTAACCTCCTAAGGGGTAATTCGGGGACATCCCCTAACCTCCTAAGACTCTAATTCGGGGACGTCCCCTAACCTCCTAAGGGGTAATTCGGGGACATCCCTTAACCTCCTAAGACTCTAATTCGGGGACGTCCCCTAACCTCCTAAGGGGTAATTCGGGGACATCCCTTAACCTCCTAAGACTCTAATTCGGGGACGTCCCCTAACCTCCTAAGGGATATAATCAAAAACCCTATCCTAAGGAGAGGGCGATTTGCCCTCTCCAACCGAAGGTCGGGGACGTCCCCTAGCTGTGTAAGGAGAGGACGAATAGAGGACGAATGTGTAATACTACTAAGTGTTTCGGTTTTACAAGCTGTTGTCCTCTGTTTGTCCTCTCCAACCGAGCATCGGGGACGTCCCCTACCTGTGTAAGGAGAGGACGAAATGACCTCTCCTTACACAGAATGTTTAACCAAAAACCTGCTGTGTAAGGAGAGGTCGTCACAGGTCGTCATGTTGCCTGAGCTTGGCTGTTTCGGCCA